TGTAAATTCGATATTTTTCAAAATTCAACAGTTATGCTAGTGAGTAACGTAAGGTATATTTCAAAGTCCAATGGCTATAACTCGATATTTTAAATTTCAGTGAACAATCAAGACATGGATCTAAGTTCAGTGACCAAAAATCGACATTTTAAATTTCAGTGACCAATTATATGGACAAAAGATATGGACATAAGTTCAGTGACCATTGGAACAATTAACTCAAAATTTCCACATAAATGAGTACTAATACTTTGTTATCATTTCTTTGGTCTTGTGCCTCTATGCTATTGATGCTTGCCATGTCTAAAGGGCTTGTAACATGTGTTGTGACATCGATGTCGTCCCTGAGGCAGTAGTCAATGTGAACACGACAAGGGCACCAATGAGGTACATACTAGTTACAATCTTCCAGGGGTCAAGGTTTTCATTTTTTATGTGATTTTTGGTGTTTATGGAGTATACAAGAAGTTTATCTAGTAATCATTTGTAAAAACGTGAATAGAAGGACGGAATGGAGTCGACAAGGTGATGTCAATGGTGTCCCTGAGGCCATACTAAATGTGAACACAACAAGGTTGCCATTGAGGTACGTACTAGTTACAATCTTCCATGGGTCAACATTTTTCATCTTTTATGTGATTTTTAATGTTTATGAAGTATACAAGATTGTGGATATAACAAGCTAAACATGTTTATCATGTAATCATTTGTAAAAATGTGAATAGCAGGATGGAAGGGAATCGACAGGGTGATATCAATGTTGTCCCTGAGGTGATGGTAAATGTGGACACGACAAGGGCACTAGTGAGGTACATACTAGTTACAATCTTCCACGGGTCAACATTTTCGTTTTTTATGTGATTTTTTGTGTTTGTGGAGTAAAGAAGATTGTGGGTATAACAAGCAATATTTCTTTGCTGTATAATCATTTGTAAAAATGTGATTAACAGTATTGGAGGGAGTCCAGAAGGTGATGTCCAGATTTTGAATTCTATGAATCCTGATAAAGTGATTCCATCAAAAAGATGGCCAATTTGTAATTTTGATTCGTTCCCCTTTCCGTTTTAGTTATAGATCATGCTGTGATCCTTTTGAATCATTTCTACTGCATAGTAATGAGTAAGCCATCATCTTTTCATTCTTGTTACCTGTAAGTTCTTGTCAATTTGATTCCAATGCCAATTGTAGGGAGGAAAAGACTTCGCACCTGGATGGAGATATAAATGTTTTAGTTCGGAGGAAAAAGTTGACATCACCAGAGAGGTCTCCACAGAGGTATTACTTTTCACTAGCACATTTGTCAAGTATTGCATGCCAAACATACCCATAAAGCATATTGCTCATTTTGCTCGTGAAAAAAATGCAGAAAGACAACCATCGATAATATAATATTGGAAGGATCCAAGGCCGATGCATCCTAGATCAGAACACTGAATTCAACTCAGATGGAAGTACTTGATAGAGAGAGAACTGATTCAAATTTTCACCATCGTCACTTACAGCAGCAGCTGCTTACAGGGCTCGTGGAATGTGATAATCAGCTCGCTCTAAACATGGACAGATACAATCATATGTTTCTGTTCGTGTTTTCTTTACTTCTAGTTTCTTTTATTCGTGTGCTGCTATGTACTACGTACTGATCGTATGAATTATGTTGTTGATATTTCTGTATATTCTGTATTTATTGTAATCTTATCTTACAAAGTGTTATCGCTTCCCTAGCTAGGACTCTTGTCTGTTTGGTAGACTATACTCAGTGAAGTGTAAAATTTTATAATAATGAATTAAAGTTCATTTTCGTCTCCCCAATTGTGTTCTTTGCCGGAAAGTTGGGTTGGTTTATTTGACGGTATTAAAGAAGAAATAATATTAGTTTTCCCTTGGTGGACCATACGCGGCAAGAGGCCCATCCTTGAGCTTTTCTGTTCTTGCCCAGCAGGTTGAGTTCTTGCTTCCTAAAAAATAAGAGAAGATAAAAACAAAAATTCTCATTTAACAAATAAGAATAAAGAATCCCACAGGATTAGTTAACTAAAGAACAAAATTGTAAGGGTGAATTAGCTTATAAGAGGGTATTTGACACTCATTTTTATGGAAAAATGAATTTTAGAATATAGATTGATAGAAAATGTGTGGATAAAAAATAAGGAATTTTTTTTTATTTGCATGTAATATTATTTTAATGAAAAATGTATGGTTAAAAAGAAAAGAAAGAAAAATACATTTTGAAAAAAATGGGAATCAAATGGAGCCTAATAACTTTAGTGATTATATGAGTAAGGGTAAAACTTTTTTTTTTTTTTAGTTCGTTTTAATTAATATTGCTTTATTGTTTATTATTCTTGTTGTGATTAATCAAATTTGGACTTAATCACTTCATCCAAGCTCATTACCTACTTCATTTTAGAGGATAGTCCAACCTAAATTCGTAAGTCTTTCAAAGCAATGGAACTTACTGGCCGTGAACCACCATGGTTGCGGGGTGGTTTGACCAATGATTTTTTGTAATTGTTGACACATAAAAATTCAACCCAAATCGAACGGCCTAAGGAGTGAAGCCCAATTGGAGGATCCCCAAATCAGATAGCCCAAAGAACGAAGTCCAATCAAACAAATCAAGATGAAGGCCCAAATAGGGAGGCCCAAGAACGCGGTAACGCCATCGCCCAAGTTTGCAAGTCGCCCAGAATTTGAGCGAATGGAGTGCCATACAGTCGCCCAGAGCTGTTACTCTATTCTCACCCAAACCTTCAAGTCGCCCAAGGTCTTAACAAACATAAAGCGTCGTGGTTATCAAGAAGTGCAGTTATCAAAGCAGTTATTAAAGCAGCCCTATCACGTTCCATGATTCAAGGAATTAAATCGAAAGCGGTTGAACGACGAAGAATAATGGCAGCAGTTAAAAAAGGCAGTTTTCATGACAAGTTGGCCATTACGAGGAAAGTGGGCAGTTATAGGACGATCAAGCAGTTTTCAGACGGTTGATCACAAAGAGATCGTCCATGAAGTATAAAAGGGAGAAAAGACATAGAGCAAAAGACGGAATCAAAAACTCTCGAACAGAGAACATGTAATTTTAATTTCCTTAGTTTAAGACTTAAACACTTTTTTTCAGTAACTCGTGTGCTTGCGCCCCTTGGAGGCACTTTGTTTTTAATTTTCAATTGTAAAGTCATCGCCAATAAAAGAACACCCCTTTTTGGGACTTTGTTTCAAGAGGTTTGTCCCTTACACAATCGTCTGATCCTTTTTAATTGTTAGGGACTAACCCACGTGAAACAATTTGGCACGCCCAGTGGGACCGTGGTGTTTGGTGTTGAAAGTACAAAAGGTAAAACAATATGCCTTAGAGATCCGATAAGGAAGCAGCAAGTCAGGGAGGAGTCCAGTCTGTGATCCAACGATATGAGGAGCAGCATGCCTCTCCACGAACAGATGGACAGAATCAGAGCAGTAATAGTCGTTACGAACCAATGATGGAGTTGAGTCCTCGAACCATGCGTGCATTACTTGGAGAACTCACACAAGACGTTGTTGAACAGGTAAATCTTCGAAGTATTCATAATATGGAAAGATTTACCCAAAACGGGAATGCACACTATGACAACATGGCCAAACAACTAAATACTTTGAACGAAACAAGGAATAAGTTAGTAGGCCAAATATGTCAACTGGTTATACCTCATGCAAATCACTTTCAAACTAGGACAATTGTGAGACATAATCTCTCAGTCCTAAGCCCAAACCAAGGGGTAGAACCACTTTCGGTCCCTCTACTTCAAACCAAGGGGGTACTGCAGTGCCAAACCAGAACAATGGTAGTGGTATGCCTAACTTGGGGGGTAATCCAAACATAAGAGATAATGTCCTAAACAATGGACAAAATATTTCACGTGTTAATGAGGGAATAGATGTTCAGGCTAATGGTAATGACCCTAATCATGGTAATTTTGTTGCCAATCAAGGACCAAACATCAGGCCTCATGCAAATCAACCGGTTAACCAACCTGTAGGAATTCCATATGACCCCAACGTCATGTTGGGGAATCAGATTATGAAAATCGTACAGGATCATATGGCCTTTGGGGTGCGTCCCGTCATTAGGCCGCCTTACATAAAGCCATACTCCGATTGGGTAGACCAAGCATACCCATGGCCTAGAGGGTATAAGGTGCCAGAATTCTCACTGTTTACCGGTTTAGGAGAGGTGTCTATTCTAGAACACATAGGGCGATTCACATTGCAAAGTGGTGATGTAACCGATTACCATAAAATGAGGCTTTTCCCTAGTTCATTAACAGGAGTAGCTTTCTCCTGGTTCATCAATTTGCCAGCGAACTCTGTTCAAACATGGCAACAATTGAAACAGTTATTTCACGCTCAGTTTTATAAAATTGAGTCTGAAGTCACTTTGGCTAATTTGGCGAATCTACGTCAAATGCCAAACGAATGGGCAGAAAGTTTTCTCCAAAGGTTCAAGATAGCAAGAAGCAAGTGTTTTGTACCTCTGCCCGAAAAAGAATTTGTCAAAATCGCTCAGGACTGCTTGAGCTTTGATTTAAAAAAAAAAATTCCAAGACAAGGAATTTCCTGACCTCTTCCAGTTGAGTACGAATGTGATTAGGTATGAACGACTGATAAGAGAGGAAGAACAGATGAAAAATTCTAGTAAAGGGGAAAAATTCTAGTAAAGGGACTTATTACAAAGACCCAAATTTTGATGTTCATACCATCAGTGACGAGTCATACGACCAGGCCGAAATGTGTTTGGCCGAATTGGTCAAAGGAGGTACATATACTTGTCCCATAATGGCCAAGCCTAGACCATCGGGCAAAGATGAGCCCATAAAAGATGGAAACATAAAGGCTAGAACGTTCTCGTTCGACGTAACCAAAGCTGACCTTATATTTGATAAATTATATAGGGATAAGCAGATAAAGTTGAGCGATAAGCACCAATTGCTAAACCCTGAACAAATTAAGGGTAAAAAATATTGTAAGTGGCATAATGCATGGTCACATTTTACTAACAATTGTTTGGTTTTCCGCCATGTATTGCAGGATGCCATTGAATCAGGACGAATTACGTTCAATGATAAGAAGAAGATGGCAGTGGACGAAAATCCTTTCCCACAGCCACTTGGAGTAAACATGGCGACATCTGGATTCAAAAACAAGTTGCCAAAATTCAAGTTGGTCGTAGATGATGGAGAAGAGGATCCTAGACCATATCCCAGCGTCTTTGAACGAATCAAGGGAAAAGAACCAAAAAAGGATGAAGACGTCCTATGTGCAAGGTGTAAAAGAGAAGTGAATGGAAATACGGAGAAACCAGGGACATGGCAGCATCCCCATCGCCCTACTTTCTTCCCAAACACTCAGCCTGGTAGAGGGCGAGGTACATCATTCTATAAAGGACCGCCTTTTGAGAGGCAGTTCAAGCCAACAGATAATGGAAGAACATTCAAGCCGCAACCTCACCGACCAAATGTATGACATTCATTCCAGTATAATGCAGGAAGGGCAATACCCTTCGACGAGATGACTAGAACTCAACAAAGGCGTTTCCAACGAAATTATGGACGGATGATGAGGCAGCAACAGGGAGTGCCACATCTTAAAGTGCCTAAATTACTCAAAATAGCCAATCAAAACATCCTCAAAGGTAGTAAAGAAACCGGTACAGGTGAATCAATGAAGGAACTACCAGAAACCTCTTCTGGGAGATCAAGATTTGAGAGGGACAAAAGGGATGAAGAAGATCCAGATCAGCCCCTTTCTATCCAATTCGGTACGTTGCCTCCTGTTGTGGCCAATAATTACCTACTGGCCAATGAATTCAAGAATAAGGAAAAGGAAGAAGAGAGGGAGGACAATGAAGGAGAAACTTGCATGTTGGTATGTGAAGAAGGCCAGACTTCTGGAGAGGCCTACAACGACGAGGAAGACGATGGGATGACGGACATTGAAGAAGAAATCGATCTAGAAGCAGAAAGAAAAAAGAGAGGAGTATCGCGCAATACTTTATTTAAGCAACTACATCAAGAAGGAGTCCGCGAAGTAGACTTGTTGGGAGAACCATCTGGGCGTTCTTTCGATTTCTATGTACTGTACGGGACACCCAAAAGGAAGAAGAGAGTGCCTCGTTCTGAAAAGTATGGGTCACCTCCAAGAATGATGCCCCCTCCCACAGGTTGGGTAACTGATGAGGAAGTATTAGAAAAAAGTAGGAAGGAAGTTCAGGAGAGAGAGGATCAGCGTGATATACTGCACGTCGACTTATCACAGGGGGGTAATTCGACAGAAAACAAGCAGGAAGTAGAAATAGAGGCTGTCGAAAAAGTTATTTTTAAACGGCCAGCCATGAAATTGACTAAACACTTGAGGCTATTGTACGTTAAAGCTCTAGTTAACGGCATCCCAGTGGCAAAAGTGTTTGTCGACAATGGAGCAGCTATAAACACCATTCCATCTTGGATGATGAGGAAGTTCGCAAAGACAGAGGGTGACATGATTCCTACAGAAGTCATCCTCACGAGCTTCAATGGAGGAGCAACTTCAGCCAAGGGAGTTATGCCATTGGACATAACTATAGGGACAACTACTAGGACCACTGTCTTCTTTGTAATAGAAGGTCCTACTAGTTACAATGTGCTACTAGGAAGAGATTGGATACACGGAAGTCGCTGTATACCCTCATCGCTCCATCAATGCCTGATCTTTTGGAATAACAAAGGCGAAGCAGAGGTGGTACAGGCCGATCATAGGCCTTTTGTCGCAGAAGCAAACTCGGTGGAAAAGTTCATGTA